AAACGTGAGCTGCATTCGCATTCGTTGACCAATGCTGAGTGCTGATCTAGGCGGGCTGCTTGAATCATTTTACGTCACACGTCCTCCATGCATAAGTGTCCCTTCTCTTGCTCGCCATCTTGGCTTTCAGCGATCAGCAAGGATATTTCTTTTTCTACGACGTGCAAGAGCAATCCCAACCCAAGTACGAGCCTCGAGTGTTGGGTCAGGCTGGGAGACAAAGTAGGCAGTTGCAGCGGCTACTTCTTCGAACGTTGGTGCGTTGGGGGACGCCATAGACGCGAGAGTGACAGGCGACGTGTTGGAATGAGGAATACCAACGTAAATCTAATTTTGCCTTCTGAATCGTGCTTGCGGAATGATGAGCGTCAGGGAAAAGTTTGAGGAAGTTAAGGAATCACTCACGCAAAGATATTATCAAGGGTTTCATCATGGCTAGTAAGGCGCGCGGCACCCCAATTCCATGTCAACATGAAACAAGAATGACTGAGTCAATAACCAGACAAAAGTCCATAATCTGAAAAAGTTGAATGTGTCACATCCCGACTGGCTCAGGTGCCAAATTTCAATATTTCAACATGGCGATCGCCTTTTGATTCATCTATCGCAGTAGAACATACAGGTTTAACATGCAGAACCAATGACAGATATATCAACCTAGACCGGAGTATCTGAATATGATACGAAGAACGCTGGAATGGAACATACCTGAATCAGAAAACCCAGCAATCGATATCCCCTCAGACTAGAGTCCAAGGAATCTCTCTTCAAACGTCTTCAGCTCCGGAGTCTCCTGGGGCGCATGCTGGGTCGGTGTGCTATCCTTATTGCCACTAGAAGTCGGCACCACTATCTCACCATCCTCTAGCTTGGGGGATGCCTCCCTGAGAGCGATAGGTGTACTCTCCTTCTTGACCACGGCAGGTCCAGGTTCCCGATCACAAGGCGTCGACTCCCTCGAGAACGAATGGGGAAACGGTGTATTTTCTCGTGTGCCAGTGTCAGAAGACGCACAGCTGGGCGCGTACGTGAACATCTCGGGTGGGAGCGACGAGGAACGCAGGTCGTGTTCATATGTGAAGGGATCGATGGGCGGTATGGTTTCCGAGTTACTGGTGGTGGATGCCTCTGGGGCTGGTGAACAAGGGGGAACGGGGGATGGTGGCCGTGGTTTTTGTTTTCGCTTTCGAGGGATGCTCTGAGGCGGAGGCTGACGAAAATCCACTGGCCACCTAAGGCGGGACGACCTGCGAGGAAAATCCATGAGGTGATTTTCTGATGCGACTGCCTTGAGCTTCAGCCTTTTATACGGAAATTCCACCCCTTATTTAAGGGGTTTTCAAACGTAAGACCAAACAAAGACAATGGTTAGAATCAACGGAAAACGATGAGTTTATTATTAATGACTTTGCTTACCGTTGTCCCATTGGCTCGTGCCAGCAAAGACGCAACTTCCTGTCTTTAACGCTACTATGACCGTACTTTGCGAAACGGGAAACTTATTCTCAGCCAGACCGCCGAGGTGAGGAAGGGTTTGATTATTGCGCACACTCGTTCATTGGCTACAGGTCTTGACGCCAGCGCGCTCTAGTGGATTCGGCACCTCGATAAAACTTCGTGGTGGGCGGAGACGGTTTCTGAAGTTGAGCAATTGCAAATTTGAGCGGTGGTGACTTCACGGTTGTTATTGTCAATCGACTGGCTATTGAAGGGAGAAGGATGGATATTTCAAATGTCCACGTGAGCCAGTACTGCGGTAGGACTAAAAAGAGCATATAAACACGACGCATAGAATAAAAATAAAGCAGGCTCACCTAGGAAGTAACCAATCTTCGGTAGACAACAACCCAAGAAAACACTCCGTTTCAACGCAGGCGTCTCCTCGCTACTGACTACGCAGCGGATATATCGTTTCGCTGAACCACAGATGCCCTTGGTCGGAGATTCGTCACTGTTTCGAACGCGAGCCCATCGTCGTAGAGGTATATCATTACTTAGACGGTCGGTATTCATAGAGGTTCGCAAAGATAATGAGACGGTTAATGGGGAGGAAAGTGGGTGAACAGGTGAGGATTCGAGGGTATGTTCCAATTCCAAGTTTTCAAAGGGAAATGGTGGTAGTGGCATGTTCGGTCCGATGTACCGTACCACGGGGTCTGACTGTACAGTCTCGTCAATGACTCTATCCACGAGCCACTTCAGAGAGTTCCACGCGTTGTGCAGGCTCCTGACGCTTCTAATGTTATGGCCGTCACCTTGGCAATATATCGATACATGATTCGTCATGCATCGAGAAGGTAGCTGCTCGGACAGAGATAATTTCATGGTAACTGGCCTACCCTTTGGGAGGGTAGATAGAGAGTACGAAAGTGCCACAAAGAATAGATATCGCAAAATGGATGGCGTTAGATGGCATTTATCTCAAGAAATCTGGCCAGATTTCAGGAACAATTACTCTACATCATGTCATCTGATCATGGAAGGTGCGTAATCGTCTTTCCTCAGACGCGGAATATCGGGCTGATGCGCTCGGAAGCGTTTTGATATGGTAGATTAGTCCGACAGGCCGTACAACCAAAGAGAATTTAATTTACTATAACTTACATACTGTACTGTTGAAGTGATGCCAGCCCCACAACTATATGAAAACACCATGTAAAGAATCCCTAGTTCTTCAAAATATAAAAATCACTGTGTAACTCGGCAGTTTCAAAAATACATACATGAAAAAATTTCTGTCCGCAACCCCAGTGGACACAGTGGGATTTGAGCCCACGACCTCACGCATGTGAAGCACCACCACTGCACCAAGTGCCCAATTTAATCATAAGTACCTAGAAGCCCTGAGGAAACCCACGGCGTCGGAGTCAACAATTACACCTCCACTGAGTATAAATTCGAACAAATGCTGGGCAAGGTCTATACAGTCAATCATGGCTATGCCAAGGCACTTCGCACTGCCGGGACTTGGCTATCTATGCAGAGCTACACTCTCTATCATAATTATCCTTTGTGCCGCTTTCTGTGCTATTCAAAGTGTGCTCGTAAAGTCTGGTTTCGACATTCCCGCTTGCCTTGCCTTTGTCGTCCCGTTGTCCTTGCAATTTTCTATTCAGATCCTTAGCGCCTTGGTCATGAATTTTACCGTCGGTAGAGAAGCAGCTGCTCGGGGCGCCCTCATACATCAAACGTCCTCGGCTTGAGAATATCTCTGAGCATCGAAGTGTCTCTCGTGATGCTCAGAGATTCTTCCAGTCCGATAGCTCTAGTGAGGTCACGATACACATTATACCACCTTCTAGGCTGGTCATCAGTGGGACTAAAGGCTCCAAGCTCAGTTTGTGACGCGTTGGCACGTATATCAGTCGGTTGGATGATATGGGGAGCGTCGACGAAAACTAGAATAATACTTCATGGGTGAGCCTAGAAAATTTATGGCTATACAGACGAACCTAATTCTATATCCTTGCCACACTCTTTTCGAAGAGATCCGAGCTAAAGAATCACGATGTTAACAGCGATTTCTCTCAGATCTGATATTAAGAAACTAACGCGTTTGCTGAAGATGGTTGCATTTTAGGCGTATCCTTTCCACAGAGTTGTTAGCCAAATGGGCCTAAGGAAGCGCAGCGAAATACACATGTACCAGTGAAGGACTAAAATAGACCGCGACATAACGAGTGGGGGTTGAAGGGAAAAGAAGCCGGACCTGTGAACAACCTTAAGTACTCACACTTAGCGCCACGCCTGTGAAGAACTAATTTCATGACGACCCTCTTCGCACAATATACACGCTACTCAGGCAAATTCTAGCAGTGAGGAGATGATAGTTAGCTGGGATGTTGTCGAGAAGGTTGATTCAGCATCCAGGGATTCGCCTTATGAACTGGAGAAAGAGCTCAAGTAAGTACGTATAGATCGCAAAAGAGTACCCGCTCCATCTTCGTTAGGTTCGTTTCGACATCGAGTAATAGTTCCTCTCTTTCCCGCTGGCAATTGTTCAAAACTTGATGATAATCTTCGTCAAAAAATTCGGCAGTGAATTCGATCTCCTCGTTGATGAGCACAGACATTTGAAATGCGTGACTGCAAAAATTGTGGGCCGGAAGCAAACGACGCGCGCTCAGTACAAAGGTAAATGAAACAGGTCGTAATATCCTCCATAGACCCATCTGTCTAAAGCCACAGGAAATTCGAGCCGTCGAGATGCAGCAGTTGCGGGGTGAAAGTTGATGCAAAGATCATTGGCTTATATAATCAATCCACCTCTTGCCACGATGACACACTCAGCAGCGGCTTCATTCTGTTGGAATCTGCGAGAGAGTTCGAGCAATCCGGCATTCCGGCATGCTGAGTAAGGAAGGAATCCAAGGGAAATAGGTAGAAACCACTAGAAAAGGAGTAGTCTAGTATAAATATGAGAAGTCAATGGGGAACTCTTCAGGAGTTTGTAACCCAAAGACTAAAGGTCTTACAAGCATGTACTCTGGATACAGTCCAAATCTCAACACATTCATTTGCTGGAGAAGGAGCATATATCTTCTTTGATAGGCCAGAAACCTCATTACAACAATATTCTGCCAATGGTCCTGATTTTGGTGTGTAATTACACGACCGGGGACCCAAAGACACGGTGTCGTTTAAATATACCGAGATCACGAGACCGTGAGTCGTGATAGAAACGATTTCAAAAATTTGACCGCCTCTTTTTCTTCCTTTCAGTGGCGAACTTTCCGCTTCGTTCATTAACATTCTCTGCCTTACAAAAGCTTGGGTAAATCCTGGTATATCATCAACATTGACGAACGGGAACGTTTCGGATGCTAGGGAAAATTGGGCGGCTTTTTCTCACCCCGCGCCGATTTCACCTCCCTCTTGGCCGAGTCATTAATATGAATTCAGGCTGAGTAGGCAAGTTTTAGCGACCATATCTCAATCGTTACATGTGTCCTTGACTCGTTCTTCACCAAGAAGGACCCAGGGTCCTCAAACAACCAGCGGGATCCATCTCGTTACAAGTACGGCGAGCCTGTCTCCATCCTCCTACTGCATCCTGCTGCAGCAAGGATGTCCTGGGGGGAACGTCTCAGGTATTCGGGAAAGGTTGACGAGCTCCTCTTGGAAGTGGTCCCGTACATATCAGCTCCGCACCGGGAGGTGTTGTCATGGTCTAACCTCTGTCCAGCTGGCGAGTGCTGAAGTTGCATTAGACCCCACCTTCTACGGCACTGCCGTAATCCTCATTTCCGGCATGTGCGTAGTATTCTGTCTATCACTGTTGGCCAACTCCCAGCTCCCTGAGTGATCCTTGAACAATGGGTCGCAGACGAGACTAGACCCGTGCCGTCGTCACCGCAGAAAGACACTCGTCCTGATTGGCGCCAACACCGGTCTGGGATTCGAGGCTGCGAAGCATTTCGCTAGGATGAACCCTGCGCGGCTGGTGTTGACTGCAAGAGAATGAAGCAAAGGGGAAGAAGGCTCTAGCCTGTAGGTTTCATTCGCTTATCACATTTACAAGCCCGACTCATCCTGGTATTCTCAGCAATCCAGGAGGACACTGGCTACACAAAGGCAGAGATTGGATCATCGATCTCGTGAATTTCAGCAGCGTCATCGCGTTCGCTGATAAGGCCGAGCGTGAACTAGACCGATTGAATATCCTCATGGAGAATGCTGGCATGATGACTTATGAGTACGAAGAAGCGGAGGGTTAGGAGCGAACGTATGTGCCGTGTCATCTTCCGGAGGACGAAAAGGCTTATCATCATCATCCTCAGTTTGCATACGAACAACCTCGGACCTGGCTTACTCGCCATTCGCATGATCCCTAAGATGCTCGAGACGGTTCGCAGGTATTCAGCCCACCCGAGAGTGGTCATCGTCGTGAGCGACACGCATTATCGGACAAAGATAGAAAAGGACGTCATCACTTCGCCTGGCATCCTCGTGAAGCTGTCAGATTCTGGAAAGCGAACAGTCTGACCATCGAGAGAAACAAGAACACCATGAAGCAATGTGCATCAGTCCCCTCCCGCTCCCCAGAGCCAACACACTATCACAGAATGGAGCAGACGGCGCTCGAAACCCCGAATCAAGCAGCAGTTCAATCGACGTCTCACCCTCATGCGGCAATATCCACAAGGGAATCAGTGCCTCGCTCTCCAGATGATAAGACGACAATAAGGCGAGGGTCCTGTCATCGTAGTACGAGCATCCAGTCTGAATATGGATCTCTCATTGCTTTGTGGAAGAGGCATGAACCTGTTGGTAGCTGATATGCTGTAGCCGGGAACATCGTCATATCCCAGATTTGATGGATCAGGTTCCGCTAGTCACTCACCTTTACCAGTATGAGTCAAGAACTGTTTCTTAGTGTAGTAACAGAGCGAACATCCCAGCTATTCTGCGAGCGCGTGTGATCAATCCTGAGCCAAAAAATATGACGAGGTACAAACCCATACATCTTTCGCGGAGCCCAGCGTGCGTGCGCCAGTAGATTCCTCGGCTAAAAGTCATCCTCGCCCGAGACCAGACACTCACACTCACCACACAGAACATAATACCGTGGAGCTTGATAGTGGTAAGGGCAGTTCGTACATTCGTCCTTCACACATATGTGAATGGCACACACAACGGATATAACATGTTTATTCGTAAACATTAAGACCTATCTGTGGTTTTAGTCAAGGACAAAGGAGAACAGACGGAGTCGACGCACTTTATGATAAGAACATTATTTCCAGCTGGAAGAGGACTTAGAGAAGGGGATAAGCGAGATTATGATGCGACGGATATATATGCACTCCGCCTCCCACCGCCACCATCAACTTCGACCTTTTCACCACCGGCCAATACTACCTACCTGTGTAGCAGCCGTTCCAATTTTCCTGTCATCCGTCTCAAGGTCACTCACCCCTAATCAGCAGAAGCATCTGCCTCTTGATTTTGACCCCCTTGTTGGGCAGGCTCCCACCGGCAGACAGTGGAGGAGTATTCTTGGGAAAACGTGCGACACATGATAATGAATGGGTTACACTTATGCCACCAAACTAGCACCGACTCATTTTCTTTTATAGAAAAAGACCAAGAAGATAATGGCAAATCAGCCTGTCGTCATTCATCTGTATGTTCATCAAGCCTTCGTTAGATACACTTCGGCAACCTCCGAGACCTTCGGATCCACTCGACCCAAAATCTCCAGCATCTCCTCCTAAACACATACAAAAATCAACCGTTAGCCTAACCCCACACTGACAAATTGCCCAGCAAAGAATCCCACTCACCCAAACCTTATCCTGCACCACCTTCCCATCCTCGCTGATTACAAAATCACTCTCTTCCACGACCTCAGACATCTGGATATACTTCCCCCGAAGCTTCTCCTCGTTGCCCAGAGACCCCACGGCAGCGTACACCAGCTGCCGGCTCCCCTCTTCCGTAGTGAACGCCAGCTCCTCTTGCATCTTTCGTAGAGCCTTCCCCTCCTCAGAGTCAGGAGGGATGCCCGACTTGGACATGAGGCCCGAGAAACAGAGTCCGGGGTTAACAGAGTTGACGGTGATCGCTGGGGAAGATGGGACGTGGAGTTGCAGGGCTCGGGCAAAAAGAACGTTGAACACTGCCAGCCGCAGTATGAGGCTCGTCTATGTGAACAGGAATCAATGTATCACGCACATTTCGTATCATGATACCGGTGCTTCATTACCCTTATTCACAGGTCAGTGGAAGTACCGTAGGACTCGGGATCATATGGGATTTGGACGTACTCTTCTGTGCAATACTCCTTGTCAGACAACTTCGCGAGGATGCCAGGGGAAGCGATGACGGCCTTTTCAATCGTCGTCCAATAATGCGTGTCGCTCGCTACGACTACCAGTCTCGGGCTGACCGAATGCTTGCGCGCCGTTTCGTGCATCTTGGGGATCATGCGAATAGCGAGCAGTCCGGGACCAAGGTTATTCGTATGCAGGCTGAGATGGTGATGAGCTTTCACCGTCCTCCAAGAAGAACCGCGTACGTTTTCTCCCAACCATCCACTTGTTCATAGTTCCGCGTTGCAATGCCAGCATTCTCCACAAGGATATCCAATCGGTCCAATTCACGCTCCGCCCTATCAGCAAACGCTACGACGCTGCCGAAATTCGCGAGATCAATAATCCACAGCTCCGCCTTGGTGTAGCCAGTGTCCTCCTGGATCTCTGTAATGACCAGTATCAGCCACTCGTAGATCTCATAATAGGAATAAACATACGGGCCAGAGCCTGCTTCCCCCTCGCTTCATCTCTCGCAGTCAACACCAGCCGTGCAGGGTTCATCCTAGCGAAATGCTTCGCAGCTTCGAATCCCAGACCGGTGTTGGCACCAATCAATACTAGTGTCTTCCCGCTTAAGTCGGCGGTGACGACGGCGGGCATCGGTCTGGTCTGGTCTGCGACTAATTGTTCATGAGTTCTTGGAGCCATTGCGAGGGATAGTGAGGGGCGTGGCCTGTGCTTCGGAGCTTTATATATGATGTAGTCATCAGAACCGACTCGGGGGCTTTGCCACTGCATTCATGCCGATAGCATACGCAAACGCAGATATTTATAATGTCAAGAAAGCGGCGTTAAGGTGCTTAGTAAAACAAGTCTTCCAGCTGACTACAGTAACATAGAAAGCAGATCGTTAGTCGCATGGCCAGAAATATAGGGAAACGATTACATACCACCGTTCGGTGTCCTTTTTTTTGGCAGTGAGATCCATGAGTCGGGTACATGTACTGAAGAAAGAAACCATGCTCGCTAAGCAAACAACGATAATACCGGAGCACCGGCTAAATCGCGTAAACATTGAGTGATCATGAGTTTGGGATGGCCGTGTGCGGCATGCAAAGAATCATTCAGGGAGCTTTGATGCATTTCCAGTTGGTAAGCAGTAAAAAATTGAGTACTACGCACATACGAGGATTACGGCAGTGGCGCAGAAGGTGGGTCACCGTCTAATGCAACATCAACACATACGCCAGCTAGACAGAAGCTATACCAAAGTAGCAGCAGCTTCCGGTGCGTCGCTGACATGTACAGGACCACTTCCAAGAACAACGGATTAAAAACACCGTCGACTTTTCCTGAACACCTGAGTCAGGACAGTGGGGAGGTTCGGTTAATCACCCACCTCTATCAGTACGTGCCAAGGGCTGTTTCTCGATGCAGTGAGAAGAGGGTAAGACAAAGCGGGTATCAACACTGGTCAATATGTGATATAGGGGAATTTGTGCAGATACAGATCAGAAATCTGCGCGTGTTATCAACCTCAAGCCAAAGGTACGACAAGCTGCAAAACATACATCTTCTAGCGCGCGCTGCTGGACAGAAGACCCCATGTGCCGGTACCGATTCCTCAGCCGAAATTTCTCAGGACTCTGTCTTTCATATCACGAATCAGCTTTGCAAAGACCAGACATTCACATCAATCACATATAACACCGTAGAGCTTGAGCGTAGACTCCGATTCGAACGCGACAGTGGTGGTAAGAAGGCAAGGCCGGCTCGGCATTTCTCGTACTTTCCTCACGACTAACCAGCTCTGCTTGTGTATACATGGATGGCACACCCGCCGGATATCATACGGGTGCTCTAATAGACATGTTTATTCGTAAACATAAAGACCTAACCATGGTTTTAGTCAAGGTAAAAGAAGAACAGACGACGTCGACGCACCTCATGATAAAAACATAGCCCCGGCTGGAAGAGACGGGAGTGAGTGAAAGACCGGTGTACCACAAGCTAAACAGCTCACTACCAGAAGCAGGAGACAGGTGAGTCAAAGAATTCTTGAAATATACTGGCATAATCGTTTCCTTCTTCCCACTGAATCAGAGCTTCCAATTTTCTTCCCTTTCCCAGCTGCGAAAAAAAGAAAACATGAAGGCTCGCGCGCATATGAACGAAGAGACTACTCGCTGATTGTGAAGAATCGGCTCTTCGTCGGCTCCGACACCTTGACACCAACTTTCTGCTTCTCGTACATGTTCATAAAAGCATGATAGAACGCAAAGTGTAGTTCCAGAGTAGGGATCATGTCCAGCGGGTGCAAGTCGTGACAGTATGAAAAAAAGTGCGCTGGCAAGCCACCCGTCTATCCAACGCCACGCACGCCTGTGTTCGGGTGACCTGTAAAGTTGACAGGGAGTATGCCTGGAGGTCGTGAAGCGCAGTTTTACTCCCGTCGACCCAATGGACGTCAAAACTGTCGTCGTATTGATCGTACCTGGTAACTTGTTCTTGAGATGCATAGGGGTTTGTCATCGTTGAGCTGAGAAGGACAACGCCATCCGAACAATATGCAAAGATTGCTGATTCTTCAATCATGAAATGGATAGCGGACACACCTTTTCCGCGCAGAAAAGGTCAGATCTCTGTCTCTCACACCGACCACCTGCATAGATAATTGAGTGTCGATGAACCAACGGCAGCAGACAAGACAGCGCAGCATGTTTGAGTTTGGTAATAATAGCATTAAAGAGGAAGGGATAGACATGTATGCGTATAGAATGATCTGTCCGAGCATCAGACAAGAGAAAGAAAAGAAAAGTCGAGAACGCACATCTTGTACAGTTACAATCCCATGTGGACGATTGAGGTAGTGTAGCGAAGTAGAGGACATCAAAGAAATACTCTACAGAGGAGGAAAAGAGACCGACGCGTTGTCTGAACTTCCTGGTTCTGTACACAAGAAGTCGCCAAGGAAGGTGCTCGGCCTTCTGATTATAAATACCACTGTTGGTTCAAAACGCCTTTCAGAGAGACCGGCTTGCATACCAGCGACGAATCCCTTCTTCGCTTTGTAAGGGCAATTTTTCTGTGCAGCTACTAAAGAGGTGAGGATTTGAATGCATAAAAACGATACTGCTGCTTACTGGTCTTGTCCGTCAGGCTAGAGATTTGGCCCTCTCTATCAGGAGATGTCCTGGCTTTCATCTTTTGTTTCGGATACAGAGCGGTGAAGGCGCGACGGGGGGCGAGGCTTATCTCTAGGATGGAAACCATTGTGAAAGGCGGGTAGTTTGCATAGTGATGGTGGTAGGGGAAGGAAGGGCCATTGCTTGGTTGGACTTGGAAAGTCTTACTGTCGTTTTCGGATAACGCGTCGACTCCTCGCCCCTTGCTGACGCTGAAGACAGGTCGGACGTGCTCGGATTTCGAATAAATGTACTAGCTGCGCACCAGTAAACTTGAGGAAAGAAATAAGAAACATAAACGGACACACTCGTGAGCCTAAGGACTGTTTATTTAACAGGATTATCAAGGCCTTCTGGTAGAGCGCTGCAAGCCTGATAACATTGTCGGATGGAGAGGTTCTACCGAATTGACAGTACATCGTCATATATGGTGAGCAATGAATGGCATGCACAATAAGAGGCCCAGCGAAATACCTGTAGCCCGCCGGTTTGCTCTCTTGAATTCTCAACGATAACACTGGTCATCAACTATCTTCTTGACCAGCGGATTTTAGATTGAATTTGCTGCGTTATTTATTGAGGAGGAAGCTGATAATTCGCAAGGTCACGCTCGCCAGGGTATCCCATCGAGAGTACGGCATTTTGGTCCAAGGATGATGGTAGTAGCAGAAAAGGAAATCTGTGAATTTGAAAATCCCTGTGCCTCTTATCCCCATGTCGATTTGCCGAGCCGTCCCCATTTTCTTTGTCTGTTGCTCAAGATTCGGGATAGCCTGTTTACCTTGGATTCGAAGAATACTCCTAATGATATGGTGGGTGGGGCCGAAAGGTATGTCTGCCATTCACAATGTATCTGGCCGAATACTACTTACTCGACGTTCAGATAGCTTATCACTAAGGAAGAGCACCTCTGGGCGACTACGCGAGTCCTTCTCCATCTGAATACACGGTGAACGACAGATCGTGTCTTGGAGATATCTCATCCATTGTAGTGGTAATTGCCGTCTATCACTGACTACATTATCAATGAAGCCACTCGAAGGGTCCCGATCAAGTCCTCGACGTATGTGAATGTGCTTCATAAACGAACTTAGGATCTTGGTATAAACTAGGGTTCGTACAATGTGTTCCTTTGCTCTCTTATCACGCCGACGGCGGTCCATTTCTAGGCTTCGCATATTCCTGTCAATGTATTTATCTCTACGGGCCATCTATATTTTAGCTCATCTTGCCTCCAGTTTGTCTAGCATGACCTGTCGTGGTGTGACTTGTCTATCCTCCGTCGCCGAGTATGCTATCTATGTGCGTATATGTTGTACTTTCAATGCAGATCGACCGGCCGTTGATCGAAAATCTTCCTATTCAGATTTGTAGTGCCTTCGTGGTTGGCGATCTCTTGGTACCTTGTTCGTTCGGTATGTGCGCGTACCTTGACTTACTCGTACTGGACTGACATTGTGTATGATTCCGCAAGGGAAAGAAACCGTTTGCTCTTTTATTATTCACGAAGTTCCTGATATTCTACTGCAGGTATTAATCTTTCTCTTTCGGCAAAATCAGACTCGTTCACGTTTACTATGCTTGCGTGTAATGGATTCGCCATTCCACGTCAGCATAGTCACCGTGATCGGGATCTACAAGTGTATTTATCTGCGTGAGTAGCGACGAGAACTGGCATTCAACTAGGAAGGGGAATCAGAATACATATGAATGTCAGAAAGCACGATAAAGAGTATATTTTAGGACAGTAGAAGCGTAAAGACAGCAAACGAAGATAACTATAGCAAGCTAAATAGTCCATCTAGTGGTAACATTGAGATAGTGAGGTGAATAGGAAGAAAACACAACTTAGCATCAAAAAGAAAGTACGAGCCGTAAGTTCGCAGTAAAGACCAACTTCCGGGTGGCACTCAAGCGAGCCCTTCACCACCTCGACCCTTCCTCCTCCTCTTGGAGACAAACCAGAGTCGGCCGTACCATCAGAGAGACTCTCACACTGCGATGTTGTCCCGATGAAGTCAAAATGGATGTATGCAATGTTCTAGCTCCCAGGATCAAGGTGTATGGGTGTAGATGCTACGTATTGATAGGTAGACGATGAAGCGGCACTGGAAGAAGGAGAAGGGAGCTGGTATGAGGGAGTAATGAGTCTGTAAGGTGGGGGGGGGTGGCAGAGCAAACCAGCTGTTGGTGGAAGAACTGCTACCAATGGTAGATGGACTCAGCACCAGTGATGGGAGCTGTTAAATATGATTGATCTTGCAGGTGCCATGTGCTGTCTTGTGGAGTGAGGGATGAGCTTGGGGTTGTTGTCCAGCATGATACCACTGCAGGCAGGGATGAGAAGGATCATGTGAGCATTCCAGTTCACCTTTAGAGCATGTTGAACCTGGAGTGGTGTAGGCAGTGTCAATGTTTGTGGTGGAGGAGCTGGGGAAGGAAGTGGGAGCCTGCTGGTTGGCAGTCAGAGAGAGAATATGTCATCAGGTGGAGTGAGTGGTGCCAGTGAAGGACCCAAAATGTCCTTGGATCCCTTGGTGATTTCATGGCCTGGCTTGAGTAGGTGGGTTCACTGGCAGCTACTGCTCTGTATTTTTTTATGTGGGTGTTTGACTTGTCTGTGCTCAGCAAGTTTGGTGGTATCCACAAAATGTTGGTATGTCAGTCTACATGCACCTCCATGCAGTGACTAATGTGTTCTATGAGAGTGGTGAAGAAAACTTCAAGTAGGTCAATACTAGTAGTGCAGAATCTACAGGAGTACTTTGCTATCTTCTCCCAGTAGGAAAGGAAAAGGCAATATGAGATAGAATAAGGAATGGGACTGCCTAGGTGCAGCATGAAGTAATTAGCTATTAACCTAGTTGAGGTAATATAGTCTTAGTTCTAGTGGTGAGCTATTATGCTGTTGCTCTATGGGAGAGCAAAGATCTGAGATGGCTCTGTAGATGAGTGAAAAAAATGATTGCTCTATAGGTGAGTGAAGAAAGATGAAGCTCTATGTGCAAGTGAAGAAACAGATTGCTTTATGTGTGAGAAAAGAAAATTGTGTTCTTTGATAAGGCAAGTAAGATTCTAATAGTGAACTTTTATTAGCCCTAGTGAAAAAAGTGTACAAAGGTACTTCTCTAGTTGCAAGAAGAATGCTGCTCTACAGTCAACATTGATACCAAACCTAAAGGTATAATGATGCTTGAGTTGGTGAAGTGTAAGAAACAACATCAAGAACCAGTGTATAATGGGTTCTTCAACAGAAGAGTAAGGCAATATCAATTGGTAGTGTATTATGGTTGTATTTCTGAGGAACTTATTGTTATGATTTTTCCATTTCTTTTATCAAAAACCCCTATTTATGCTTAGTCAAGGTGTCAAACAACCAGCACTTGGGACTATGGGAAGACCTTAGTCATCACAACAGACCAACTTCACTACAATTCCTCGATGCAATTGACATCTAATGACAAATGCACAATCAACCTTTTATGTATGGTAATAATGCTCAAGGACAATGGGCAACCAGGACAGAAAGACACACAATAAGTATAACATATTAATAGCAGACCATGTACAATATTTAAGGAGGCTTGCTCTTGCTGGAAAACCCCAGCTTCAAGCTAAAGTTTATACATACCATTCTATCCTCAAGCTTACTTTCTGGCCTTATGACACACCAACCACAGATCACATCAGTGGACTCAGACAACTACCTGAAGTGCAAGGTAGCTTCTGTTTATCATATGGTTGTGCTCACATGATGCCTGGGTCTAACAATTAGCTCAAAGCTTTCTATTCTCTTTCTCAAGTCCAATTGTGCTGAGAAACTGAATGCCCCCCTCCAATAACAACAACCTGAATTTTGACCATGAGTTCTTCGAACTCCTCTCTTCCATCATCAAAACACTGATTGGCCTATTGGTGATCATCCAGCTGTGCTGGAGACACCATTCTATTACTGCCTGGGCCATCAGACACTATCAGGAATTCCAAAATATCCAATGCATCCTATGAAACGTAACCCCTGATCTTCCTCTACATGACATCTCCAAATCCCGACAAACAATCTACCAGCCTCCAGAAGCAAGGCCTAGTGGCTCACATCAGGGGGATGGTCAGGAAGAAGAGAGAGGACGACACTCTCCCTGACCTGGAAACCAGCACTCTTGTATCCCAGAAGGAAGTGGAATCCTTATACCAGATGCAGTCTCTGACTATGAGGATGAGGACCTCCCAGAAGACTTTTTTCAGCAGTCCCCCTCCTCCAGTTGGTCTTCCACCTCCTATATCCATGGGATTGCTGACCATGCCTGAGACTCTCTTGATGCCCTTAGGATAGCTTCAAGATCCCATGCACTAACACCTGGCAGCCAGTCTCATGACTCTCATTCCTCCATGACTGGCAGCACCTGGATAAGAGACAATGACAACCAGCACAACAATGAGCAAAGACAGTGAGAATAATAGGAAGAGACCATATGCTGGTACTTCTCAATCTGGGACTTTACCATCCCTTTTGACTATGATGAAGCCGTCTGACAAGAAGGATGCAGGTAGCAAAATGAGCCACAGCCAGTATGTAGCAAGTCTGCAGATCAAAATGCAATGGAAGAGCTCTAGAGAAGGATGGCCACTGAGTACAACAAGCAGAACAGAGACCACCAGCAAGAGGTGGAGAGAGAAAGACTGAACAGAGCAAATGTCTCCAACTGGTATGGACTTCGACCAGAAGTCACCAGCATACTCACATCAGTATGAGCAGACCCCTCTTTCTCCATCTTTAGAGAGTCTAGCACTTCACAAAGTGGGACCTCTGAGTATTGGGCTGATAGCACCCAGATCAGGTGAGGCCAAAGGCCCCCAACCCCACAATATTCCCCTTCCCGATGAACCCCCAGTGCTGACTCTGCCTTTGAAAGTAACAAATCCATTCTTGGGCACTATGGGCTTCAAGTCCCTGGAAATGCCCATATTCCTGCTTGTGCACTTCGAGGATTTCTCAGAAGTAGGGTCATCAGATAGCTTATCAATGACAGCTACCAGCAGAACATCTGCCTCTATCACGAGCAAGTGAAGACAGTGAGAGCAACTGGAGGAAACTGATACAACTCCAATATCAGCAGTTGACCTGCTGCCACCTACAACCATACACTAAATTCTTCAGCCACTGGGCTGAGCACCCAGCCAGTGCAGCAAGACAATGATACAGTTAGGGAAGGTAGAGAGTTCCTATGATCTGCCTGCCACTTCCCTCCTCAAGGAGGAAGAGGATGATGAGGAAACAGAGGAGGAGGAAGAGGAAACTGAAAACAGTGACCCACTCCACCCCAGTGGAGGATATACCTATGAGACCACTGATGAAGAAGAGCTGGAGCAAGAAATAAAGAAGGCAAGGATGCAGAAGTATCAGAAATACTATCTGTGAGGGGTGAACTTTTTATGGCATAATGCTACTTGGATAGCATCACAATTAGGACAATTATATCTTCATTCTACAACTAACAAACAGACAGAAATCCTGAGGTACACAGCAACTGATTATGCCACAACTCAATACAACCAGAGGCACCCTGGAGACTAAGTTCAAAGACCACTGGCATACCAAATGCCAGCCCTGATATAACCCATGCTATCATCACCACCTGCACCCTCAAAATGAGCCATATACATGGCCTTATCTATCCATAGCATGCTTTCAAACTCCACCCCCTCATCTTGATCAACAGCAATCTGGCTATCATGAACACAACCACTGCCACTGAAAAGACCAGTTGGTTACTGAAATTCCTGGACCAGCAAGGGAAGTAGATTTTTGGGGGCACAACCTCCACCAGATGAAGCAACAGGGAGTAGCACTGGGAAAGAACCAGTCCAGAATGATCTGAAAGCCATTTGACTAGACTTCACAGTCCAAGATGGGGTCATTGTCTGAAAAGATGCACCACTGCATGGGAGCCCCATCACCAATGACAACTCACTTCACTCATTCCCAGGACCCCCACACAAATGGCACTGACCTCCATTTTCAGAGTGGCCCAACCTGATGGGCATCTTGCCACATGATGCAGCTGTCCTTCAATGTCACCCTGACCTCCTACAAAAACTCTGCTCTTTTAAAGGGGTGTCTGATGATATCAACTGATTTATAATTAACTGTGAACAATATTTTGAAGTCTATATAGGGTACTTGGGGACTGACATGAACAAAGTCATCTTTGTGACTTTCTACCTCAAAGAGAAAGCCAAGAACTGGTGGATCCTGATCTCCCCAAACTTCTGATCATTGACTCAGAAGCACTACTGATACCCCTCATGGCCAGTATTTAAACAAATGCTACATAACAAATTCATTGATCCAGCAGTACAAGAAGTACATAAGCAAAAGATCAAGAAATACAAGATGGGAGACAAGGCCACCATGGACTACTTTGATGAGTTGGAATGCCTGGCAAGGCTTGCTGGGATCTGGAGGGATGTAGCCAATGATGGGCAGATGGTCGAGACCCTCAAGCAAGGAGTTCCCTCTTCATACATCATGATGATCTCAGCTATCAGCATCAGAGTCTTGATGCTGAACAGCTATGATGAATGGAAGGAACAGATTGTCGAGATGTACAAAGAATGATAAAGACAGAAAGCAGAGTCAATGATGCTGCAAGAATACCTCAAGAAGTTGACACCACCAACCCCAAACAAAATGTCAGGGACAACTGCTGGGAAATCACCAGGATTCTCTATGGCCCCCACTTACAGCACTCAAAAGACAGGAATGGGAACAACATATATCAGGACCAGAAAGCCAATGGACATTGACTGAATGAAGAAGGAGGAGAAGTGTTTCAATTGTGGGCAAAAGAGTTACATGATGAAGGACTGCCCAAAGAAGAAGAAAATCTGAGAAGATATACATGCTCAGATAGCTGAATTGCAGAAAGAAGATGAGGAACTTGGAAAAGAAACCAAGGTTGAGGAAGTAAAAGACAGGGCTGACCAGTGAGCAATTCCACTGGGCCAGCCAAGGAACTCTACAGTGTGCAAACCCTAGCCACTAGTCAGACTAATAGTACCTCTGTAGTTACACCTATGCTTATTTATACTATGCATTTAAATATACCAACAAGTACAATCACACACACTGAAGAATCACAAAAAAGAACTCAAC